CGAAGCGAGCACTATGGCGATTCTTTGAGTAGGACATTTTGAGCACATGACAGGCTGTTTAGAATTGACCCCTTACTGTGATTGACCTGAATTTGTCCATGATTATTTTATTTCACAGTCAGAAAGAATGGTTTGTGTGGGACTGAATGATGCAAGATTTGTTCATGCCCTACCTCCCTCCTTTGTGACTTCAGATCTCCAACTTCTCTTTCTGCAACTGGTATCTAAGTATCTGTGTTCCCATTAGCATAATGTGAGGAGGTGGGGAGACTGCCCATCCCTGCCCCCAAAGATCCTTCACCACTCTGACCTGTGTTCTCATCCCTGATCCACTTTCCTATTCCAGCAGAGGCAGAGCAGGGCCATCTCCATCCCTGTCTTAGCCTCTTGTTGCAGTGAATTGCAGCTTCTTACTCCTTACTGAAAATAGGAATCTAGATATGAATTTGATTTTTGTAATTCTTGCCATGAGGTGGGGTTGGTGGGTTAATTAAAGGAGAGGAAGATTCTTAAATTTTGCAAGAAATGAATGGAAGCCCTGAGAACCTTCCAGAATTTGTGTGTTTGCTGTGCTGAGTCTGTTGCAGGTGGGACAGGAGCTGTGAGGAGCCGAGTGTGTACGGGGCCTGTGCTCAGTAAGTGCTTATTGCCTCGTGGGCTTTGATGTGGTCACCACTCGGCTGGGTCATCTTTGCTGTTCCTTTGTCCTTGTACCTTCAGTAGAACCTTGTTCCACTAGGACATGTGATCACAGGGGCTCAGACATCACCTGGACCTTGTCTTGTGTCTGAGGCTGAGCACAAAGTGAGGGCTTTGTGCGTCCAGGTCAGTCAGGGCTCAGGACGGTCTGGCCCTCAGCCCTCATCTCTTGGGTGTTTTTTTTTTTTTTAACCTTATTTCTGTAGAGAATTATGTCTCTTCTTGTTCTTGTGCATGAGGTCTAGTCTCATTTTCCTCTGGGTGTCCCCTGTCTCTGACAGGAGCAGGAGTGATTTTGCCTATCATTGTCCCTACGAGGCCCAGGGGGTCCTTGCTCACTGAGGTGTCTGTGGTCTGGAAGAATGAATTTTATGACTCATCCATCTCTTGCCATCCTTCCAAGGCTATTTCCTGGATTGTTCTCTCATCTTTTCCCCAACTTTTCTTTAAGGAAGCAGATCCAGAATTAGGAGAGAGGAGGGATCTGATAGTTTCTCATCTTAGAGAAACTCCTCTTATCTTCTCTTCTCACTTACTCCCTCTCCCTGCCTTTAGCTAATCCTAGTGCTGGCTCCAGTCCAGACTCATAGATTTATAAAGCCGAGTCTAATTTAGATTACAGTGGATTGGAACATAGGACCCATAGGTCAAGGACCATTGTTTTCTCGAGAGGGAAATGAATTTGTGTGCTGCGGTGTGTCTGAGGAGTGGTGCGGGAGGAAGGAGGTGGAGGGAGGGAGGGGAGAGCTATGCTTGTGGGAAAAGCAAAGGAGCATTGATGTCAATGAGGATAGATGTGCTGTAGCTGCCACAGAGCAACACGTGGCCTTAGGCTACAGTAAGAAAGATACTTCCTGTAGAATACAGAGGTGCTGTCCACTCATCCTTCATTCACCCACTGTATATGTTGTGTGTCAGATACATGACACACTGTTTTTGCATTTAAGGGGCCTCAGAAAACTAAAGCCAGGCAAAAGTTGTCGGCCTGTAGAGCATGTTCTGGTGAGAAGGAGCCAAGTGTACACCATAAGCATAGTAATAAGTTAGAAGGTGATAAACGTGTTGAGAAAGGTGTCCTAAGTCTCAGTCCATGGGGACAGGGAAGATGGCTGTTTTACTAGGATGGTCAGTGTGGGCCTCATTGAGGTGACCTTTGAGCAAAGATGGGAAAGACATGATGGAACTGTCCACAAGGATGTCCGGAGCAAGTTCTTTCCAGGCAGGAGACCCTCCAGGGCACATGTACTAGGACAGGACTGTGTGTGTTCAAGGAAGAGCAAGGAGGCTGGTATGGTTGGAGCAGAGAATAATTCGGATGAGATCTAATGTCCATCCAGATCATGTGGGCTTTGAGAATATTGGATAGGTTTTGACTTTTCTCGGAGGAAGATATAGCACTCCAAGACAGTTCTGAAAGAAGAGAGACCTGGTGTGACTTCTCTTTAGGTTTTAGAGGGGTGGGGGGGTAATTAGGTTTGTTTGTTTGTTTGTTTATTTTAATGGAGGTACTGGGGATTGAGCCTGGGAACTCGTGCATTCTCAGCACTGAGCTATACCCTCCCTATAACTTCTCTTTAGAAGCAACTGTCTGTTTGCTGTGCTGAGTATAGAATCGAGAAGTAAAGGGTGAGGAACGCAGTAGAGGAAACTTTAGGAAACGGTATGGTATCCAGGCTGGAAAGGCTGGTGCTTGTCTGGGTGTGATCAGGGAAAGTAACAGGCAGTAATTGGAGCTGGATCTGTTTAAAGATGGGCTTAACAGCATTCCCTAATGGATTAAATATGGGGTATGAGAAAGAGGAATCAAGGGGGTCATCAGCACTTCCGGACTGTGCAAGCAGAAATATGGAGCGCCATCAGTGGAAACAGGGAAGACCCTGGAAGGAGCGTATTTGAGGAAGCCACATTATGGGCATTCAATTTAGGAAATGCTGAATCTGGCTGTCTATGAGAAATGTAAGTGAGGTTGTCAGATGGACATACATGTCTGGAGTTTGGAGAGAGAGATTTTGGAAGTGACACCATATAAATGCTACTTGAAGCCTGAACACAGGTGAGGTCACCAGGGGAGTGATGAATAGAGAAGAGGAAGGAACAAGGACTGAACCCAGGACCGCCCCACCCCTGCCCCCAGTGCTATGCAATTCTGTCAGATCACACACTGAGCAGACTGCACAGTTCTGACACCGCACCTAGACGGCACATAGACCAGGAAGTCCCATACTTACCTGTGCACAGGAATTACCTGGACATCTCATTAAGATCCAGTGGTCTGGAAAAGAGCCTGAGATTCTGAATTTATAACAAATTGGTGCTGATGCTGCTGGTCTTCTGATCACACATTTAGTAGCAAGAATATAGACCAGGATTCCCACATGGCTGTGCATCAGCCTCACAGGTACAGCTTGTGAAATAAGCAATTCTTGGGTTCAGTGCCCAACATTCTGAGATGGTGGGTCTGGGGAGAGGCCTGAGTATTTTGCAACAATCCCAGCAAGCAACCCTGGGGCTCAGCCAGATTGGGAACCATTGAAGTCAGTGATCAGAGATCACTCAGGTGGAGGAGGAGTCTTAAATCCACAATTAAATGTTGTTTTTTTCCTGTGAAGAAAAGGCAAGGCATCCATGTTGTTTTCTCTACCCTGGGGTTTGTAGCCAGGTCGGACTGAGGAAGTGGTTCTCAGCTCGACATAAAGAACATCTCTGAATCCGTGCTCTCTGAAACTATTCCCTACATTGACTTCTCACTCACTTCTTGGTGTAATTTTTGGAATCCAAATTTTTCTAGCTGAAATACATATCTGTGTATTTTTATATAGATAAATAAATAATTGGGGGCTCATTTTATTTCAGGGAATTTGTGAAGTGATACGGCTAAGAACAAAATCAACAATACCAATCTAAATGGGCTTCTTCCATATAGTATATATTGCTCTGCTGTTCACACGGTTGGCACTGCTGATGCTGGACACTGGAGCCTGCGGGTAGGACTGTCATCACTGTTGCTCTTGGCAAGTGGATATTGCTACACTCACACCATCTTTGCTAAATGCTTGTGCTTTGGGAAACTGAGTTTTCCTCTTTTAAGGCAGGATGCCATCTCTGCCCCCTATCAAGACTCTATGGAGAGAGAAACAAGATGGTGGAGTAGAAGGACGTTTGTAGCTCACCCTCTCCCACAAATACACCAAAACTCACCTCTACGGATCCACTCAGCCAACCAGAGCACCTGCCGAACTCCAAAAGAACATCGCCC